GCCAATAACAAAACGTTTTTTCAATTGCTTTTCCACGCGCACAATTAGGTCGTGCTCATCTTGGCTGGTGAAGCCCTCAGCGCCCTCCAGACTTCCTGTCATGAAGGCTTCCAAGGTAGAAACTTGGAAAAGGCGAAGTGCCTCGTCCACATCGGACTCATTTGCGAAGGCTTCGAGGCGCATTTTTGCGAGAGACTCGGAAATACGAATGACAGCTTCCAGTTGGCTATGGTGACAGAACAAAAATTAAAGTTAAACACGTGAAATGAAATTTTAAAATTTGGGGAGGGACGACGTTAAGTTAAACACCCTTCCATTACGAAGGTTACGATTGGTCTTGGCTACTTTCAAGAAGTGCATACAGTAAGCAGGTAAACCAAAAAGCAGGTGATTAACGAGTAAAATTGTGATGACTTCCACTATATACCTCAAACATCTTATTGCACTTGGGACGGGTAAGCCGGATTTAATTCATAAAGTCGAACCTGGTGAAATTATAACAGAAACTTAGCTTTAGGGAGAGTATGGCACTGCAAGAATCTAAAATTCGAGGCGATGTACAATTTAAAAGCCGCTAGTAAGCGCAACACTCTAGGGCCGTTCTGAAAAGATTCACATCCTTTTCAGATGGTTTTGAAATACACATTAATATAGAGCGTGCCATACTGACCTCGCCACTGCGTTTGATTGTGTCTATTAGGCGTCCCTGGGGCCGGCAGCGGAATGCAGGAAAATCACGTCTAAAATCGCTCAAGCACTGGGACAGTTGGGGTGTTTGACAATGTCGCGCAACCTTTCGACATCCAAGCTGGAGATCGAAAAGGTTGATCTGCTGCCTATCCTTGTAAAGACGTGCACAGTTTATACTGTGTCCCATTTGCATTGGAATGTCGGCTGACTGGCCAGAACTATGCTAACAAACTGACGATGTACAGTGTGATGTGGCAGGTGATAATGGTGAAACATTTTGTTTATGTGCAAACGCTACTGTTTTGAAGCTGTACCTGTATCGGTAGAAATACGCACTCTCTCGGGATTAGTGGTCGTCAACGTGGAAACTTTGGCGCCCCAAACTACCTCGGGGGGAGGCATCTGACTAATGGACAGAATAAAGGCGAGGTCATCCCTGGAATCAATGCCGTTTACCTCTACATGATATCGTTACGCCACAAAAATCTGTGAGTATTATTCATTCGTCCAGTCAGTCCTCATATACAGTTGTGAATTCTGGGTTGTGCGCGTAGGTGGCTAACATTGACTGACTGCCATGCTTAGAAGTACACTGAATTATTTTAGATTTTCCCTAATTTTATTTAACCTCTGATGCAGCTGAAAATCACAGACCGGGGCCGCTTGTCTGTGCGCATGTGTGTGACCGCCTCTGATGTTGGATTCGAACGAGAATCTGAAACGTCAGGCTAATGAACATCCTGTTCTATTGATCGCAGCTTCTGGAACTATTCCTGGAATTCGCCTCTCCGATTCTACCGGCGGTAAACTAAGTACAGATTTATTGTATTTGCTATTAGCATTTTTACGTCGTAATTCTGATGCACATCCGCTCCTTATCTGCTTCTATATTTGGCCTTAATTAAGTGACTTAAAATGTGGTCCGTTCCCAACGTTTTGCTTCATTAAAAATCATTCTAGCTTAGCAAATAATAATTCAGAAACGAAACTGTTTTCTTTCAAAGAATGGTCAGTTCTTTAACGCCACAAAAAGTTGGAGTATATGGAGTAGACGGATTTTGCGTTACGAAAACTTCGTTGAAAATTTTGCCTTCCCTAAGTTACACCACTTACTGCGTACTTTGTGACATGCATGTCGTCTATATTAGTTATTACCAAAGAGATGTTAAGGAGGAGTAACATCAACAAACGTACTATAGGCAACTAGAGCGATTTCTGAGAAGCCGACTTCTCTCTCTCTAGTCATACCTGGATTTATAAAAACCGAAAGTAATGATTTAGAAATGCTTTCTATGACACAGTAAGAAATTCAACGGTTGAGGGCCTTGGGAATAGCGGTAAATATTTTAGGAAGAAGAAGAGCCAGGGGAACCGTGGCCTGCAGTACCGCCACAGCGTGTAAAAATCATTTTCGGTTGAACACAAGCAGCTAAGGACCGTTAGGTTTTGGAGAAAAATATATTTAAATATGCGCTTACCGAACAGTTATCGGGATAGCAGCATGTTTTCCGGTCTGTTGCTCGTGTCTGCTGGCTCCTGAACGCATCAAAACATACTGATTCACCAGTTTTTCGGCTGCCGACGGGGAAAGACGGGGTCCGCAGGACTCGCGAGCGTAGGCAATGAACCTCCGCAGCCTTGACAGGGGTATTTCACCAGCAGATTTCTCCGCGGCCTCCATGCTCGCTATGGGATCGCTGAAAAACAAATAGAGGTAAGGGTGCGTCCAAAGGCTCTGTCCAAAGCGCATGCACTTCTTACGGCACGAAAACAGATCCAACAAGTAATCGATTTTCAAAGGTAGAAGTAGACTCCGGTCATTTATCAATGAGCGCTGCAAAGGGGAAGTGCAGTTTGGTGAGAGGGATAATGCGGACGCAAGACGTAAAACACCACCAATGTCTGGCTCTATGTGTTAGAAATAGCCATTCCTGTCTCCCTGGTCCGTATCGATAATATCCATCTCTCTACACTACAAGTCGCTGTGCGACTGCCTGCATCAGCAGAAACGTTTCTGGTAATACCTATGATGAAGGATCCGCGACAGATTTTGAAACGTCAGGCGAATAAAATTTTTGTCTCAAAGATCACATCTTCTTCTCAATTACTTCTTGGGAATCGTATGTTCGCTTGTATTGGTAATAAGCCGGAATTGACCATCCTAGTTTGCTTCTTCTTGTAGGGAACCTCCTGTCTATTTAACTGCATCATACGATTAGAAACACATGACTAGAACTCTGGCTTTGGTTCTCTACCTGGAGTTACGTTATGATATCGAATTCAGCAAATTATGTCACACCGGTCGTGACATCCATCATGTCAATGTCAATTTTTTGTTTGGATTTACTTGCTATTG